ATGTAGCTAGACACTTTTAAAAATTACTATGCTATGCAGAATTAAATAATAAAAAGCACAGGGTTTGTAGAAAACTGAAGTCAAAGGCTGCTATCTTTTGGATATTGAGTGTAGAGATGTGGCTGCAGCATGAAGCTACTTGAAGGCAGTGGAAAAATTAAGAGATGGGCCTAGTGGAAGTTCTGTGGATCACTTGGAGTGGATTGTCACTGCCTTGTCTCTTCTCTCTCTCACTTTCTGGTTAGGAGATAAGTGGTTTTGCTCCACCACATGCTCCTCAACTTGCCCCAAACCCACAAGCAGTAAGGTCAACCAGTTGTCGACTTGAACCCCTGAAACCATGAGCCAAAATAAATCTCCCCCCTTGATAAATTTATTTTGTTTCAATAATGAAAATCTGACTAATGCAAGGGCATGACACTTCAATATTTGTCAGTAACATATTTAAAATAAAAAAAGAATAATAACATAGTGGCATAATATCCCATATATCAAAAGGTAACAAATACATAAGTGTTACAATAAATATGTCACTTTACCTCTGAAATGACCTGAAGAGGATATTGATATTGTAGCTTGTGATTATTTTGAAATGATGAATGAAGGATTGTGTGCAATTTGATGGAAAGTTATAATACAGAGATGAAATAATGTGTTTCATAATGCAGCTGATAAGCTCAGGTAGTTGGCTGTGGTTTGAGGTGTATAGATCTATCTTGTTTATTTCTAAACAACTTGTTTCATGAAATATTGTGCATTTCAATAGTGTTTTTTTCAGGCAGATTTTTTTCATACATAGATGAAAAATTCTGAACTGTTTTGTATAGAGATGAGAATAAGTCAAGACTGATAACATGTTTGGTATTTTCAAATGTTACAAGAAGTAAGAACAGATAGATATGGGCAAAGCAAGATATATGAGCCTCAGAAGATGACAGATTTTATTTTCTTTAGAAGGAAGAAAAATTGAAGACCCCAATGATGGCACCTCCCATGATGCAAATGAATTGTCTGACAGTTTTCATTTGAGCAAGTTGTAATGGAAATTGTGACCTCAGGAGTAAGTGATATTATACCTAGGCAGGAAAGTACAAACATTAGCTTAACTGCAAAAGGCACAAGACAAGGCTTTTAGAGGGAAAGGAAGATTATTTCATGGGAAAAAATATCCCAGCAACCATGAAGATGAGAATAACGGCAAGGAAAGTAAATACATGTAAAATTTCCTACATGGTAATCTGATTTGATAGCTATACCTAGCAGGACAATCAATCTACAAACAGGGATGTTGATGAAAATAACAGCAGCTACTTCTCTAAATGGGGCAAGAGTCACCTGTGATGTGATGAATAGTAATCTGCTCCTGAAAACATATGTGTGCATCTGCACTGGTTCTTAGAAAAGTTAGCTCTTCCATATTTTTTAAATTTTTGAGTAATGTAAGTGTGCAAGTGTGTTGGTGGGTGAGTATGTGTTTAAGAAGCCATGAATTAGTCTGCTTCTGAAAAGTCAACTCACTCCAGTAACCACACTAAACATATTCATAATTAAATTAAGGAGAAATTAAGAATTAGAGTTAGAATCACAAAAATAAGGACTCAATTGACACTTTAATAAGAAGTAAGACTGTATTCACTTATTCTCAATATATGCATCTGATATATCCATAAACAAGTAGAATGATATGTCTGAAATTTGATGGGCTTCAAATACTGGTGCCCTATAGTAAAATCAACCCAACTTTCTATCAACCGATCAATGTGTTTTTAGGTCCTAAATTTAATGAGTCATTTTAACTACTTTTATTACTCTGAGAACTAAAATGGTAATGGAGCTTTTGAAAACATTTATTTAATTAACAAATCTAGAAATAGGGCACTGGAGCCTATCAATTATGTATCTTAGACATAGCAGATGTTTTTAAGGGCATGCTGTAGGAAGGCATGATTTTCCATCTGTCCAGGATTGGAAGGTAGAGAAGTACTGTTCTGCATAACAGGAAACACTAGAAAAGAATTAGTCCAAGGAGCATTCGCTACTTGCTATCTCCCCTGGAAATGTATTTCAGTTAAGACCTCCTGAGCATTGACATATGTGGCACAACTTCCATCAATTGCAAATGGGAGGTTCAAAAACTTTGGAGACACCAACAAATTAATGTAATTAAAAATTATACACAAAGGTATTACTACTCAAAGAAAAAACTGTTCAGACAACAAATACTAGAAAGAAGGTTATAAGCTACCACTCTTTTTGCAGAGACTGATAGAGGGGGGAAAAATGTGTTCCCATTTAGAACACTTTCAAGCAATTGAGGGGACGCACTTGTGTCCCTGGCCTTTGACATTTATGACTAGAAACACACTAAATGCTCCTCGGGGGAACTGAATCCCCTTCATCTCTCCAAACACTTGTATTATATTTACCTTTCCATGATATTAGAGCTTGGTCAGTACACCCCAGAGACTCTGCTGAGAAATGCTTAAATGTCTTGACTCACACGATGATGTTATATAAGGACTTCAATAAGGATAGCATCCTACTTTTCAAAAAATGTAAACCTTTTCTTCCTATGTTACTATCATGGTTAGAGAATTAAAGACTATTCTGAAAAGAACTGTTGATGAAAGCATTTGTAAATTTAAATATAATGAAAATGTAACAATAATGTATCTTTGCTTTCTTTTTTTTAAAGAGAGAGAGAGAGAAGAGAGAGAGAATTTTT